AATTGCGTAAATTCAATCATGCAGGTGCGAAAAATCAATATTGATGAGTCACCAGTGTATATATATATATATATATATATATCAATGACTTCAGAATTACCAGACGGATTGATATTTTTCAGATTTTCTGTTCAAATATCAAGTGAATTAATTAAATAATGATGAGCATACTACTTGCTCATTCTGAACCACTTATCTTAATTGCCGTCAGAACAGAAAATTAACTGATCACATTATCCGAAAGGGGTTTATTTGTCAGACCAACATTAATACAACAAGATTGAGACTGATATTATGCTTTGTAAACTTACCACGTTCTTGATTTCTTTCAAAGTTACTCATAATCGCTGTATTCGTTTTGTTTTTATTTATTTTTTTTATTCCCTTACGTTCCCAGTGGAACATAAAGCTTCAAGCTAGAGGCTTGAAGTTTCGGTAGAAGTGGTGTTTATTTTTACGGGATGGGGTCGCTAGCCCCTTGCCCAACCTTCCCTCTTTACCAGTCTTATCACTGGCTTAGTGACTTAGAGGAGCACGTCGGCCGGAGATCGAACCCTAAATCACATGAGGCGTGGTCGGCAAGCATTCCACCTCTGTGCCTCCGACGCACGCCGTATTCGTCTGATTGCAGTATTATTTAATAGAAAAAATGTTTTTTTCACCTTTATTAAAGTGAAAATTGACATCATTTAAATTATTTTTAGTGTCCAGCAGGATGAAATGGAGATCTGCTGCTGAAGCCCTATGTTCCGTTTGGAATCTAAGGGAATAATAATAATATTAAATGTCTAGCACGCTTGTAGATGTTTTAAGATTTGTTATAAACGAATATCAATCGGGCCAGACTGGGACATCATTTTGCGCTCCTCCTTGGTGCTGTTAACACGCACATAGAAACTGTTTTAGATTGTATGCAGCTGTGAAACTCAAACAAATAAAATGATACAGTATTATTCCGTTCAGTTTGTTGACAATGTTTTGTTCAAGTTCATTGTTTGAAAGAATTGTACTAACACTTTCTTCCTGTATCTGTTACACTTCATATAATATAGGAGATAAAGAGAGTAGGTAACATCGGTCTTCTTTAAGCCCACCCCATGTCACTAGTCTATGCTTACTGGTTAAGACTAATGTTTGGCATTATCCGGTATATTATTAGGATATTTAATTTATTATTATACCTCTTGTTATGATTCTTGATTCATTTAAAGCTGTACGTCGGTAGCACAGTGGTTAGGACTCTCGCCGACCATGCACATGGTCCGGGGTTCGATCCCCTGCCGACGCACACCCGATATCTATGGTCGGCCTGCAAAATTTCGGCTACCGATATCCAAGCTGAAAATTCCATACTTGTACTGAAAATACGGTGTGGAATCAAGCTGCAATCAAAATAAAAAATTTTTAAAAATATCCCTTACCACGACCATTGTCTTAATTCGTTTTAATATTATTATTACTAGCATTACTATTATTATCAGTATTATTCAGTTTGCAATTCTTGGTACACTCAAGTTCTTTCCCCAATAATTAAATGTTTATTTGAATGATATAACTGAACCGTGATGCATAATTATCTTAATTTTAATCTGTGATACTCCTCCTTGTCTACCTGAACATGACCTGAAAAACATTCACACCTGTTTTTTGCATGATTAATTCAAAATTGTTTATTTACTTGTCAGTTTTATATCTCCAAATGTAATTCTAATATCCTTGTATGTAGAGTATTCAGTTGAAGAATTCTACCGAAATTTGGTCAATAGAATAAAACCTGCTTTATATTAACACATTGCTTATTTTGGAGAAATTTTTGGATGTGGTTGAGGTTCATATGTTTTATCTTCAAAGACTAATTCGTTTGTCTCTGATGACAGAGATCAGATCCCTGGTGTGACAGTGGGTGCGTACTGTTGAAGAGTCACAAACTAGGGTGAAACAGATGTCCAATACTCTTTGATTTTCAGTGGTTCCCTAACTGATGTCAGTTTGTTATAAAACTTGAGACAAACCAACTCTTGGAAATATCCTAGAAAAGACGTAATTATCAAATTCTCCCTTAATTGGGTGTCTGATTTTAGGGTCATTCTGGCCACCGAGTTACAATGGACCAGTTCACAGTCCGTGAATGTAACTGGCCGCCTAGATGCATCTGAACATGGAATAAGTTTTGAAGTATGGAAATAAAACACTTGTGGCAACAGTTACAGGGCAATGCTATTTTTTAAACTGTTTTTTTATGCAATTTTTCAGTTATGTAGGAAATAAATCATAGTAGAGAAGTTTCAAGCTCACTACCTACTTTTTGTTTCCTAGCAAATAATTAAAAATCAAATTAAGCCACAAAACCAGGGGAAATTATTTTGTACTATTGCTGTTGGCTGTTTGGGAATGAATTGGTGGTTTTCGTTTGAAGACAAGCAGAAAAATTATCACTGACTTTGATCACATTTTCATGTCATCTCTCTTCATCTTATCTGATACATATCAGCTTGACTAGAAAGAGAAAAATAAAACTTGAAAGTTCACTAAATAATGTGATATGTAAAACGATATGGACTATATTTCGAAATCAATATGAACATAAGTGAACTGAAGAGCGAATAAAATTAACTAATAACTTCTATATCTTCTTTCCACTAAAATCTTTTATATTGTAGCTTACTTTCAAATCTAATTGGTTGATGGTGACTAGCAGTGGAATCCAGGATGCGCATTGCGTCCTATTTGGGACTCGTCCGACGGATGTGCCTGCATTCCCTAGCGAGTGATGATGTTCCCAACGAGGCTCGATCCCAGTGCCCATAGTTTCAAACGTTAAAGCGTTATCCACTAGACCACTTGGGCCACGAGAGCCACTGTCTCTTGTGCAACAGGTCATATTAATTATTCAATTGAATTTTAGATTTTCCCGTCGACTGATTGGACCGAAGTGCTTGGTCTCAATCAATCGATGAGAAAATCTAAAATTCAATTAATCACTTCCAAATCTGTTTCGATAAAATGAAAACTGAGTGCTTTTATTTAATTCTTAATTTCCTCCAGTTGATTATCGACAAATTTAATACAAATGCTGCTAATTCTTGTGTCATTTTGAGCTTAAAATTGTGTGTGAACAGATTAAGTATGTTTCAAATGTTACCTCTTCATTCCCCTCTACTTTCAATAGATTTTGAAGTATCTCAGGTATTTATATAGATAAAACTCTTTGTAATAAAACTAAGCAATAAAAATTCTGTACTGTATTAGGAGTCACATCACTCTACGAACTGTATTATGGCAAAAATTTTACTGTGATTTTTCAAACATGAGCATCTGACATTGTCTTTTATCACACTGAGAAAATTTACATTTAGGCGTCTAACGATGAGAATAATTAATCCTGCAGGAAACACGAATTTCCTCAAGGTTATAAATACACTTTTTTGATGACTTCCAATATACACGAAATCTCGACAAAGTAGGGCATCCTGCCAACTGCCTCTAGCCAGTATCAGCCAGCCTTCATTAGTTTTGTGTTATTTAGTTTAGCGACGAAACTGCACACCGCCTGATCCTTGGGTTTCAATCATCAGAACTTAGAATTATAAACTCAGATTGGTTTTTTTATTTTTTGACCAGTCTGTGTGCATAGTTCTCTATTTTCGACATTGAAATGATAATATAAGTGGACACTGAGGAAAAAATTGTTTGCCTAAGTAAAATGGTTTACATCGTCGGACGTTAATGACATGGTCTTATATTTTTTAATTGACAGTTGTCTTTTTTATTGGCTTCTGGATATGACTTGCCATCACTGCTTAAAATCTGTTACAACTATCAAAAATTAATGAAGTTTATCGATAGTTTAGACAAGAGGTATAACTCTCGGTCGAAATCTCAACTGCAAAATTGTTAAGGTATTCGGTGTACTGCATTTCGCCAATAACCTTCTAAATGAATAAAGTTGGAGTTCTAACTTTCAATGCAGAATGTTATTCTCTGCATCCAACTTTCGTTGCTCAGTCAGTACTTTGATTCACCTAATTATACGTGTGAATATAAAAAAAAATTATCATTCAGTACCTCGATGGCGGTATATATACATATTTCTCAACCAAATGTCCTGGAATTCACAAACCAACAGAATTTAGAAAGGATGCAGTCCGTTCAGTAATGCAGAATAGTAAAAGGACACTGCATACCATTGGAAATCAGTTATTTTAAGACATAATGCTGTGTTTTTTCATTGAATAACTTCTCAACAAGACATACTCGTCTGACTGTCCAAAAATGAGAGCTTTAACTCCATTACTGATAAATAGATTTACCCCTTATTCCTAGACCGGCATTTTCCCTTGTTTTATTCACTAGCCTAGTGTGGATCTGTGAAATTACCGTGTGGACAAAACGGTTTCTTCAGAATTCTCTGCTGCCAACATCCTTATGTGATGACAATCGAATAAAGCAATCTATTCCCAATCAAAATAAGTATTAAGTATGCCTATCTTTGCAATAACGAAAATAATTTACTCTACAGTGTGCTATATAAAATAAGGTCTAATGAGCTTATCAGCAGAAAAAAGGCTTGATGCTTTGACTTAATTATTTTTCGCGAATTCCGCAGAAGCTGATGTCCCAGTCAACAACAATTAAGACATGTTCTGTTGAAATTATAGTAAAATAAAAGTGATAAATTCCCATCATGTATTGTTGTTGAAACATGACAGCAATTAAGTTTATAATACCACCTGGAAAACGAAATTACTATAGCCCAAAGCCATATAGTTTAGCTGTCAGACGAACTTTCAAATCCTTAAGTGTATACAAGAGAATAACTGCAGTCACCATGACAGCAACCTAGTATTAAAAGGTAAGTCCGATGTCTATTTAAGTGACCAATCAAATGCGTAGTTTGTAGGACCAATAGAATATGAGCATAAATCGATCGAATTTTTGAATCAAATTTTGATTGGTCTATAATTTGTAATAAATTCGGTAGGCAATCATTACAACGCAAAATGACGCGCAGAAGCTGCCGTGCTGTTGTTCCTCGTCCGTCCAGAGAGCGTAAACACACGAGCCATGTCAAGGCTGATACACCACCAACTGAAATGAAACGATGCCTGGTGAAATTGAAGAAAATGGTACCAACAATCGAACGCAATAAAAAAGTTAACCAGTTGGAATTACTACAGCATGTAATTGATTATATACAAGACTTGGAGAAAACTCTTCAATACCCCGAGGATATACTGACCTCTGTGAATGTTCCAAGGTGTTCAAGTCCATCAGAAAAGTAAGTAAATTTTCCGATAGATATTGAGTGACATGAAATAAGTTTTCTTTAACAATTTCATGATATATCTAACTAAGATATGTTTAGGAAGGGAATCTATCCATACACTTTTTCAGAATAGGTACCGCAGGGAGTTTTCACCCATAAAGTAGGATGTGATGACTGTTATCTTGTGAGTAATTTAATCACTGCAGTTTCATTTTTATTTGAAGCACTGTTTATTATCCAGGACTGACTCATTTCAAGACCATATATGTATGTGTATAAACTGTTCCTAAAACTACAGTACTGTGGAATTAACATATAATTATCTTATAATCAATCTTATAAGTCGTGAAAACCCTCCAATTGAGTCTGCGGACAATATGTACTGAACGTCCGCAATGCGACACTCTTCAGACCACCCTTAGGAAGTCACACGCATCGCACTCTTCATTACTTACATTGAGGGACGGACTAATTACTTTATTGTAGCTGAATTAAAGGAGTGTATCTTTATCGAGTCTATTTGATACTTTGTATTTTGATACAAACACCTTGGATTAGAAGTGCAATCTCCAAAGTCATAGGTCAGGGCTATCGGATTCACAATAATCAAGTCAGGAATTAATACACGTGATGCATGTGGATGACTATTCATCTAGGGAGTGTTTCTAAATCACCTTCAGATTTCACTATGAGCGACAGCTGCTTCAGACATCTATTTATTTACCAGTCATTAAGAGTAACAGTTGAGTTGCTTGCGTCGCCTCTATTAATTGCAAAGGACCTTAGTACTGTAACTTTTATTTCGCGCAAAGTGTGCTTCTGAATGGAACTGAGTATACTGCAATTCTTGTCTTCCGTTTTCTAAACAATCTTTTGTACCCCTTTTTTTCTACAGTCAACCACTTGTCCACCTGTGACGAGACCATGTTATGTTAACGAAGAAAATGAAGTGAGGAAAGGCGTATATCTCGTGAAAGAACGCAGTGATATGTACAGACAAACTTGAGCAAAATTTTCCTTGATTTTTATTATATCTGCGTATGTACATATGCATACGACATTCGTTTTTTTTTAAATTGAATTGTACAGTATATTTGACATTTCCCATAATAAAGATCCATTTAATTTAAATACTTGTTCCCTTTCTGCTTGACACCACGATAGAGTTAGCACTTGATAGTTTTGGCAATTACAAAATAACATTTAGAGAAACCTTGTAATTATGCAGTTTCCAGGTCCTCCCGCGTGCTCGAGCAGTTGTTGCTGGCGTTGCACGCTGCTCAGGTAGCCATGTGATTGCGATTCCATGGGGTCAATATTAACACTCAAAATTTAGGTGCGATCGATTGACGAGTCCCGAGTAGGGCGAAACGCATATCTTAAATTCAACTGGCAGTTATTACCAATCAAATCACACCGGATTGAAATTTATTTTCGTAATTCATTTCTAAACCATTTGAGTATTGAGGGTACTTGATTCAGTGCGAAAAATAAATATTGGATTCAATACTAGATAAGTGTATTTGAAGCAACAGTATCACAGTTGTGGATAATTAATTTATCAAATAGGGAATTAGATTTTCCCACAGTCCGTTTTATAAACTGGTTGTACTTCATTTTTATAAAGTTCACATTTAGGTGAATTAAGATGAATAGGATTGAACATGCTTGTTTCATCTGTAAGGTGGTGGTGAGTGTAGCATGAATTCTCTACTTGTATGCACACCCACAACTTGTAAATTCTGTTGACCGGAATGAATGTTGCTTTATATATTATTTGACTAGTTTTGTTCCAAGCCTATAAATGAATCAATGATTGCAATATAAAAGTATCTCACTAACTAGCATTAATGATATACTTGAAGTTGGCACTAAACATGTCTCATGATTGTGGTGTGTCTATCTTATTTCCCAGCTTTAACTGCATTCTCACGTTAATCAAATGTACTGTAAACCAAGTCATATGATCCGTTTGATATGTAGACTATTGTTACATTTAGTTATAATATTGGTGAGTCATGAGAAGTGTGGAGGTGTACTTGTAAGGTCTATTGTTATGTTTATAGCTATTTTAGGCGTAAATACTAGTTCATTACTTTGGACGTGGGAATTTCAGTTTAAACATTGATGAACTGGATCATAACTAAAATCGGTATGTTAACCTACTATGGTCGTGATACTGCTTGATTTACGTGTTCCGTTTGATATTCCTTTCAACACAAATATCCCAGATAGAGAGTGCACTTGATAAATTGAAACACATTTGATATGCACTTCGTATGAGATTCGTAATTCGACTGCGTTTAGGCTTTTATGTCATTAATTCGGAATCATAGCTGACACTTCGAATGAGAGCTAACTATGTTCAGACAATTGATTTGAATTCGCAACTAATTTTCAGTTTGAAATGTACAAACCTAACAATATTTGACAGACCAGAACATATCAGCTCGACGAGCATAGAAACAAATGAAATGTATATAAACGGTATAGTACAACTAGAATGCGCACTAGGATCGATAAAGGCTGAATGTGAACGACACGTTGCTGAGTCATTCAAAAGACATTGGATTATGAGCGAACTAATATTTAGAAACATTTATTATAATATATTTGAATAGCCTAGCAACGTGTCTGTCTATATTTTAATTTGAAAGGTAATACTGTAACAGCAGAAGGCAAGACACGGAAGCCAAATGTACGTTTCTATTGATCTATTGTATGTATACAGTTTATATTCTTTAACTAATCTCTGAGCTTACGATTTTGGTTTACATTCAATGACATAAAATAGGATGTTCCAATACATGTGTAGTATTCTGTTGCTAATGTAGTATTGAACTGTGGGAATAGTATTCAGACGTTAACACCATCAAATACAATGATTCTTACTGTGAGAATAATATTCCGTTGGAACCCAGTGTCCGTATCACACCACCACAATATGACTACTGTATCTAAGTTTTGTAGTTGATCAGGGGACAAAGTGATCGTAATTAATTTTAAAAAGTCCAAGTAAACATATCAGTTACCTTGTATTCTAGGTATTGTAAAACGTGATCAAGGTTACATGTGAATTGTCAATAACGAGTTAATAGAATTCTCCCGGTTAACTGTTGATTCATACTTAATTTCTAGTGGAGGTAAAAGAATAAATAGTTCAGCGAAGGGACTCTTTTCGGCGAATTCATTTACTCAGCTGTACTGTCGTCACTGTATAAGATTTTATCTAAAAGAGTAGGGAACATTATTCCATACGACCACAAACAGATCGCAGTAGGTTATTACAGACTGCTATAGTTCGATACCTAGTCGACACTGGTCACTCAGTTTCTAATTGGAAGCTAATTCAAAGTTATGTAACAGAGGATACCTCTCTGGACATTTTCCTAACCCTTTGCATTACTGAGGTCTAGGTCATTCATATGAAAAATCTTGTTCTGTGAACATAGAAACAACTTTTTCACCCACTCCTATGTTGGACATAATCCCGAGCTCAATTCTTGTCAATATATTATTAGCTATCGCTATTCTACATTTATGAGCATCATTTTCTCAAATAACCTTCTGTTCAGTCAGCTAACCTATTACGTAGATTATTTTGATACTTGCTCCTATGCTCTTTTCACTAACCCCTAATTTTTCTAAGTGCTTTTTTGTATTACGCAACCTTTAGTCTGAACTTACTTATCTTTTTAACCTTAGTTACTATTTCATTAGTCTTTGCCATTCCGAAAGACCGATGATATAATCAATATTCCAAGTTAGTTTATTTTTATAATAAAGGTTTTTGTATTTCCCATTGAATGAAAAACAAAACGATATATTGTTTTTACTGACGTTATCAAATAATACTTTGTTAAGGCTATTAGCATTAAATAGCGAAACGTTAGTAAAAACAATATCGTTTTGTTTTATATTCATTGGGAAATACAAAAACCTTTATTATATTGAAAATCATATAATCAATGCCCAAATTTTTTCAAACTGTTAATTTATTTTGATTTTACATCTTTTTTGCCATGTGTCGACATACAGCTAAATGAAGAAATTTACTGAAAGAATTCTCTACTGGATAGTTTGCTCTTATTTCCATGTCCAGATGGGTATTTTTTCTTGTATTAAAAAAGGTAACTTTATCAAGTTTTCAACCATGTTGTACGATCGTTCAGTAATCGTCCATCATCAGTAAGAATTATTCAGTTACTCCGGTTTACATCTAATGGTTAATGCATGTACATCAGTATTTTCTACAGGAAGTCAGTCGGTCGTGACATAAAAAGCCTAATGTGAATACCTCTAACTTCAACACTGAGTGATACAGATACGAACCTTATATTGAAAATGTACCTGTTAAGTACACTACTAAAAAGTACGAATACGAATTAAACGCAGGTAAATTATCTGGAATGGAGTATAATGTATTCGTTTTGATTAGTTCAACACTTGTCAGTGTCTTATTAGCCATATCTAATAAGCTATTGTCACATATTCTGCTATTTATCCACAGTGAATTTAATCCGATCAATAATTTATTGATTGGAAGGAGGATTTCGTCATGAGCTGACATCAGTTAGAGAACCACTGGAAAACGAGCTGGGAGTACCGGACAGCTGTTTCGTCCTAGTTTGGGACTCTTCATCAGGATGAAATCCTCCATCCAATCAAACAATAATTTATTATCAAATTTGATAGAATAGAATATCCTTGTTTTAATTATTTGTGTTTATTTTTGTATGCAAATGTGAAAGTAACCTTATACCTATCACGTTCATTATGATACGATATGTTAGTCGGTATTATATTCGACACCTTGATTATTAACATAATCTTTAGTTTAACTGCATATGGTAATAAATTATGCATCTAACTAATCATTAAGGTAACGAGTACAATTTTAAAGTTGTCATATGATAACTAAATTCACATGCAATGAACTTTTTGATTCAATATTCATCTTAATCCATTGTTGAGCATCTCTCTTATACACCGACTGATGTCAATGCAGTTTTTATAAATATCATTTGAACACATTATTCAAGCAGTGAACAATCCATAACTCAACTACTCTAGTAAATATCAGTCAGATTTACAAACTGAACGTTGACAATGTTTAAAATGAAGGAGAAATTAGCCATGAATCAATGTAAGCGCTGGGCAGGTATTTAAAGCTAAGCAACACAATCAACTACTCTTCCTTTGTTACTTCTCAGCAGTGAACACCTCAAAACTCATTAATTTGAAGATCATTTTTTTTTTATTCCTTCACGTTCCCAGTGGAACATTGGGCTTCAAGCTAGAGGCTTGAAGTTTTTGTACCAGTGTTTATTTTTACAGGATGGGGTTGCTAGCTTCATGCCCAACCTTTCCTCCTTACCAGCTTTATTTCTGGCTTCGCGAGGTAAAGGAGTGCGTCGGTCGGGGATGGAACCCCGGACCATGTGCATGGTCGGCGAGCGTCCTAACCACTGTGCCACCGACTCCTTATTGTCTCGAAAAACAAACCAATCTAGTTCTGTTGTATGGGGAAATTTAGTTAACGATTGAGAGGGTTTAGTTGGATAAATGTCTTGCCAACACATTTGCTCTGTCTTCTAATACAACCTTAAAGTAGTTTTATTCTGCTCTAGCAATCTTAGCTGATCCACTTTTAATCCCTTGGTTACCTAGGCTAGGGTTAGTCTTGACATTAAAGATAACTGCATTACCCAACAGCATTTCTTCTTGGAATATTTGTATTTATATTGAAAACTTCACATCCAATCAGTTTGGTTGGTTACGTTTCTTTATTTTGATGCAGTTACACTAAACGTATTAAGTAAATTCTTTTATTTTTCAAACACTTATCTTATTTCAATTATTAGTTTTGTAGGTATTTGGATTGACTTCAGTGTGGATTTTATCACGAACCGACATCAGTTACAGAATCTTTAAAAACCACTGAACAGCTTCTCTGTTCTAATGTTGGACACCCACCGAAGATCGAAACCGGGCTCTTCGTGTTACAAGGCCATGTTGTTGACCATTCAGACACTTAGGTTGGAATCCAGTGACCCGTGAGCTCAAGTTTTTTTTCAATTCGTAATATAATCGTACTGTCAGCCAATGCCATCAGTGAGTATCCACTTTCTCCTGGACCACACTGAAACTTTCCTACAACTTCAGGACATCCATCCAGCATCTGCTTGTAAACTAGCGATTGATATTCAGTTGTTGGGTTTTGTAGGGATTTGGATTAATTTAAGTC